CAGCCTGCCCTGATTTGCTCTGCGCCCGCGGCACCTCTCACTGCGCTCTCCGTCTCTCCCTGGGGGCCGTCACCCTCCTCAGAGCCAGAGACTGCATCCTCTTCACCCAGCCCCTTGTCCACTGTGACTCCCCACAGCCCGAGGTTGTCACCCCCCCAGAGCTGATGACTCTGCACCAGCTAATCCTCCCGGGGAGGAGGCAGCTCCCCGAGCAGCTAGGTCTGCGACCATCACTCACGATGAATGAAATCTACAGAAACCTAGACTTGTCTGTTTCCAGGATCCCTGAAGCTCTAACAGGTACATCACCATTCAAGTGAAGAGACTGGCGAACATCTCAGGAAGCCCAAAGCTAACCCTCGGGTCCCTCGCTCGCAGACTTGTGCTCAGACTCATTTTAATAAAAGCAGAGTCTCCCTGCCCGGCCGGTGTGGCTCAGTGGTTGAGCGTCGACCCCGCACCAAGAGGTTGCAGTTTGATTCCCGGTCAGGGCAGGTGCCCAGGTTGTGGGCCTGATCCCCAGTGCGGGGCGTGCAGGAGGCGGCCCATCGATGTTCTCTCTCACCGATGTTTCTCTCTCTCTCCCCCCTCCCTTCCTCTCTCTAAAATCAAGAAAGAAAAATAAATTAAAAAAAATAAAAAAAGAGTCCCCCTGTGAATTATACAAAGGCTTAAAAAACAGAACTGCTGCCTCTGTTGGGCAAGGACCGTGAGCAAACCCGTCTTAATTTCAGTTTGCTTTGGGGCCGGTGCAGCTAAGCAACTGGAGTTTCAGGCCTGCTCTTATTTTAGTTATTTTTCTAAGGGACATCCTCCAAGACAGTTGAATTTCATGAATCTCAACTCGCACACCCGCGTCCAGACATGGCTGTTTCCCTTCGACACCGGACAGCCGAGAGACGCAGCCCCGGGAGGGCTGTTTGCAGGTCGCAGGTCACAGGTCATCACCCTCTGGAGGGCCTTTCTTGCTAGGGAGGTGTCAACACCTCAGAGGCTGTCTGCCCATCGAGCCAAAGTGAACCTGGCCTTCAGCAAATGCTCAACGGTGGGCGGTCCGTCAGGGCCTGGTGGGGGCCAGTTCCCACCCCACGGTGCTCAGCTCCACGCGGCTGACCCCACAGCATGGCGAATGCCCTCTCCGATGTCACGTCTACAACGGGACGGTCTGAAAAGCAAGCTAAGCGGAGCGCTCTGCTTCCTCTTGGCTTTGGCCGGTCATAACAGACGTTGTGGCCAAGCTGACTCTGCACAGAGCTTTCCACCCTCCTCAGAAAGAGCTCAACAGCAGGGGTGACGGCTGAGATTCAGTGCCAGCCAGGGTGGCCCCCGTTGCCAGTGGCTGACCACACGGGGCCTCTGGCCATCGCAGCCAGGGCTCCCCATTAGTCACCCCTGCTGCCAGCACGCCCAGTGCGGCGGCACCCTGCAGAGGGGTCTCCAGCTGGGCCCGGGGGGCGTGGCGTGGGCCCAGCATACCCGGCAGGAACAGAGCACTTCGCGCGGGTTGAAATGCGTTCTCCATCCTTCACTGGCTGGTTGGAGAGGGAAGCCTCGGGGTGGCCGTCCAGGGCTCAGAGGCCGGAGGCCCAGCCCTGCTCCAGAGCCGTCCTGATCCCCGCTAAGACCCGGTTTTCAGGGGACACTGGGGGAAGGCGTGGCGCCTTAGGTTCTCAGTCAACTGGGGGCACTTTCTTCTGTTATTTGGGGGGGGGGAGGAACACAGCGCCCGCTGGGTCCTGGTGGCTTGTACCCTTGTTATTTTTTCTGGGACACCCAAACCCTCAGCAGCTCTGCAAGAGATGCCAGCACCTGCCGACTCCAGCTCTCGCTGTAGGCCCGCCCTGGCCCTGGCCCCTCGCTGTTAGTGGGGCTGCCCCCCACGTCACAGAGGAAGGGCAGTGACGAAACACCTACCCTTGGCACTCACCGGCGGCCACTCCACCTGCGGTGAGACTCGGCTCAGACCTCTTCCAGGCGCCCGGCGCCCAGTGACCGCCTGGGCATGGCCCAGAGCAGGCCGGAGTCCCTTCCTAGGGGCTGTGTGCTGTTCTCAGGGGGCCAGCAGCCCCACCGGGCCCCCAAACACTTTCCCAGCTCCCCTGACAGTTTCTGTCTGAGGCGTCACTTAACATGAGAACCGTGTCCCTGAAAACAAGTCCCCGACCTGCCAGGCCTGCGGCTCCTCAGCTGCTGGGTCCAGGAAGTAGTTTACTCGGTTCCCTCCTTGCTCAAGGCAGACAACGCCAGCGGTCCCGGGAGGCGCTGGTGCGGACTGGGCAGGGCCGGGGTGACTGAGCAGGGCCGGGGTGACTGGGCAGGGCCGCGGTGCCCAGGCTCTCACGCGGGGCTCGAGTCCGGCAGAAGCACCGATCACCGGTGGACCAGGCCCGGGGCCCAAGCACCACACCTGTGCCTGAGGCCAGCCGGGGCCAGGCAGCTACCCCAGAGGCCCAGAAGGTCCGGGACGCACAGGAGTTATTTGGACAGAAGAGGAGAGGCCAGGAAGGGAGGAAACCGAGAAATAAGGCAGCGAGCAGCGGCTGCAGACTCCACAGCCCGTCCCAGAACACGGCCTGGGCCCTGCGCAGTGAGACCTTGCCCCTCTGGCCTTGTCCTCCACCTGGGCGGTGACAGTGGCAAACGCCACGAGCCCCAACCAGATGGGACGTCCTGCAAACAGACGGAGAAGTGCAAGAGGCCAGGCCCAGGCAGGACGAATTCCCAAGGGCCGGGGGGCCTCCCGCCCACAGCACCAGCCGGGAATTCCAAAGACCAGGGCACGACAAGCACAGTGAGACCGGCCACACTGCCCCTGGCCTCATCCACATCCCATTCCCAGGAAGCGCGGGCGGCACGGGGGTCCCTCTCACACCCAGGGGCTCTGCTCCACGCCCACTCTGCCCCGAGTCACCCCCGAGTGAGAAGGCTGGCAGCCCCTGCGCCTCCCGAGGCCTCGGTTTCCCCCGACAGGAGGAGGAGTTGGCAGAGGGTGTCCAGGAGGCTCCGACATGCCAGGATTTTCTGCCCCAGTGGATGGGAAGCCAAGAAAGAGAGCCTCCCAGGTTGGGTCTGCTTAGAGTAGGGATGCTGCTAGAAAAATGCACTGGTCCGCCTTGGACCTGGGCCCGGCCAGCTGCTGCCCAACCCCCTGGCGTGGGTCACCCCAGGGAGGATTTAGCTGGGGGCCCACCCCCAGGAGAGCCCGCCTGCTTCAGCGTTGTTCTCATCCCTCGTGGAATGCAAAGCCCTGAGCGCAGGGGTTCTCAGCCTGTGGGTCGAGACCCTCGGGGGGGTCGAACGACCCTTTCACAGGGGTCACCTAAGACGTAACAGTAGCAAAATTACAGTTATGAAGTAGCAACAAAAATAATGTTACAAAACATGAGGAACTGGATGAAAGGGGGCGGCATCAGGAAGGTTGAGAACCACCGCCTTAGGGGCAGGAGCCGCTCGGTACCTGTCCATCTCTGTATCCACAATGCCCGGCTCAGGGCCTAGGACTGGGGCTCAGGGAGGTTCCGATTCCAGCCCCTAAGGTTCCGAGCGCTATGAACTGCCCCAGGGTGGCGGTGCACAGCCACACCTACAGGCCCGGCATCAAGCCCGGGCTGGACCCAGCGGGCTTCTGTGTGGCATCAGGATGCTCACTCCCCACCCAGGCACACGCGCTGCCTACTCCAACCCTGGCCTCATTTTCTCCTGCCTGTCCTCATCCCCAGGGGCCTAAAGGTCCCATAAGGGCCTCATCATCCACCAATGGGGGAAACTGAGGCCAGAGCGGCAGCAACTCCAGGGCAGCACGTTTCATAACTGCTGACAACCACACGGCTCGCCCTCCCCTTGGGATCGCAGCAAGGGTTGTAGCATTAATTGTAATTAACTAATTATTCCTGCTGCCAACCGGCGGAGGAGGAGGCTGGAGGTGGGGAGCCCCCAAATGACTCAGTCGTGTTTACAACACGAAAACCCATTTAAGAGCTTGTAAAGTTGCTATAAATGGCCCTCTGGCAGCAGGGGAGTAACGATTCCCCGTCTCCAGCTGTCGGTTAAACAATGGATGGGTTCGGGGCTTCAGGAAGCCAGGTTCCAAGATCCAACAGCGCCACCTAGAGACCATGTTCCAAAATGCTCTGCTGGCGCCAACCTCACGGACACCGGTTCTCAAGACCACAGAATCCAGGGCCGAGGAGACCACCAAGCCCACTGCCACTCCCCCATTCACAGTGGGGATACTGAGGCCCAGATGAGGACAAGGCTTTGAAAATGTTCAGAATCTAATATCTAAGGTCAAAATGGCAGCTGTGATCCTTCTCAGGCCCCGTGAACTTAAATTCTGTAAAATAGGACAGTTTGGGGGAGATACTAGGAACCAGCCTCTCCCAGCCTCACAGGGTGCCCTTCCCCTCCCTGTTCAGCTCAGCCCTCCTCCCAGCCGCCACGTCCTGTGAGCAGTCCCCCTCGCTGTGCGCCCAGGGCACGGAGCCTCCAGGGAGCTCCAGCAGGCCCGCGAGACCGCTCCACGATGCACTCGGTTTTCCAACACCCTGAGCACGGGGAGCGACCTCTGGACATAAGCAAGATAAGCCAGTTGCGGGCGAGACCGGAGCACAGGGCCTTGACTCGCTGTTTGACATCCCCCCCACTGCACCCCAAGAACGAAGTCCCGGGGAGTGGGGCTGTGCGAGCCTAGGACAAACGCTTCACCGGTGATCTCATCCGAAATTCACGGCGGTCAGATACAGAGGCCTCCTTAATCCACCGCTTTAGACGCGGGGAAACTGAGGCCCACAGCTGAAGTGGGTTCCAGAGAGGCTCTGCCACTCTGGACGCTCCGACTGGGGGTGCTGGGGGCTCCAGCTGAGCCCTGGAAGACTGGGGCTGGACCAGGAGGGGGACGCAGGTGGGAACTGCGCTGGTCCAGAGAAGTTTTCCCGTCCGACTGGCACAAGGCTGGGAGGACAAGGTGCGTCTGGACAGACCGGACGTCTCGGGCTACTCACCCACAGTCATGCCGTCCATGTAGCGCTTGATGATATCGAAGGAGTCCCGCAGGTTCCCCTCTGTGATGTCGAAGATGATGTCGGCATGGTTGGAGGGATGCGCTGGCGTGATGGCCCGGAGAAAGATGATCTCTGTGGGAAGGGAGCACATGGGGAGAGGACCGCAGGAGGGAGCCCCGACCCTGCAGATGCCCAACACAGGGCCCTGTCCTGTACAGCCAACCGGAACCAACGTTATCCACTCTGAGTAACACGTGAACCCCCACAAGTAACACGTGAACCTACCCTGGGTAACACGTGAACCCACTCTGAGTAACACGTGAACCTACTCTGAGTAACATGTGAACCCCCACAAGTAACACGTGAACCTACCCTGGGTAACACGTGAACCCCACCATGAGTAACACATGAGCCCACCAAGAGTAACACGTGAACCCACCGTAACACGTGAACCCACTCTGAGTAACACGTGAGCCCACCATGAGTAACACGTGAACCCACTCTGAGTAACACGTGAGCCCACCATGAGTAACACGTGAACCCACTCTGAGTAACACGTGAACCCACCCTGAGTAACACGTGAACCCACCCTGAGTAACACGTGAGCCCACCCTGAGTAACACGTGAACCCACTCTGAGTAACACGTGAACCCACCCTGAGTAACGTGAGCCCACCCTGAGTAACACGTGAACCCACTCTGAGTAACACGTGAACCCACCCTGAGTAACACGTGAACCCACTCTGAGTAACACGTGAGCCCACCATGAGTAACACGTGAACCCACTCTGAGTAACACGTGAGCCCACCATGAGTAACACGTGAGCCCACTCTGAGTAACACTTGTGAACCCTGAAGGTTCACGAGGACTGGGACCTGAGCGGGAGCCCCTCAGAAACCCAGGGTCTGCTGTCCAGGAAAATGGGGTGCTGAAGCCCTTAGGTCCCGCCCAGAGCCCTGGGTCCGGGCAGACTTGAGCCCGTCCCCCGCCTCCTTGCCCGCTGAAGGGCAGGTGAAAGTTCTTTCTTTTCTCAAAGGTGGTCCCTGGACTGGCTTCTATGCCGTCAGGGCGCGAGCCTCCCTCCCTCCGTAACAGGGCCCCTGTCCGGAGAAGGTGGACGGGTGCCGAGGGGCCGTAGGTCTGTCCCCGCTTCCAACAATGGGGAAACGGAGGCCTGGAGCGATCTCGGCTCTTCCCCGAGGTTGGGGGCTGATGGGCAGCAGGGACGCCACTGAGGAGCTGGTAGTGACTCATGAATCTTCATGACGCCGGGCAGACAGGAAGGCAAGTGCACGAGGGGCCGGAGGGGGAGAGTCGGGAAGGGCAAGGGCAGGCTGGTCTGCCCACGGTGGCGTGGGTGGGCCGAGCAGTGGGCAGCCTTGTCCAGCCCCTAGACCCCTGCAGGAAGCGGGGCAGCTGCCTGGGCTGGAGCACAGGCCCCGCCCTACACTGCTCGGGGCCTCTCGAGGCGTCCTCCCTGCGCTTCAGTGTCATCTGTAAGGGGAGGAGGCCACTGGCCGGTGCCCACGAAGGGTCCTTTCAGTGCCAAAGGTCAAGGTCTGGGTTGACTGCGCCTGAGATGCTAACAGTATCTCTAGCCACCACCAACTCCCCGTGGAACCAACTCCGACCAGCACTGGGAGAGGCCCCAGAGCTGGTCACTGGGCTTTGGGGAGGGTGTGCCTGTCGCTTGGTGGAACCCGTCATTTTGCTCGAGGCAAACACTTTCTCCAACTCAAGTCCCCACCCTGCAAAGGTTCTGTGCCCCCTGGAGCAAGCCAGCGGGTTGGAGGCCTGCAGGCACCCAGGTCCTCGGGAAGCCGTCCTGCCCCCCACACCCCCGCAGCCAGGCTTGTGCTACGGCACGTGCCCCGGCGTCCCCTGCAGGACCGCGCGCCTGGAAGCCCAGGGTGTGCTCGTGCTGGCTGCGCTCTTCCTACGGAGGATCAGAGGGCTGCTTCTCACCCGAGTCCCAGGGACTGGCCCCGAGCCCAACACACGGGAGGCTCAGTTAGGCCAAGGATGAGACTGAAGAGAAGAAGGGGGTGGCTGGAGAACACACCAGCACCAGCGTGTGGGTTGCACTCCCAAAGCAAGGTGTGCCGAGCAGGACCACGTTCCTAGCCTCCGCCGGGCACCGGGAGCATGACGCCCCTGGCCTGGCCCCAGAGAACGGTGCTGAGATCCAGGTTTACTGGGCAGGCCAGGAGCTCCCTCGAGGGCAGGGGCATGCCCGGGGACACGGACCCCTTTACCCCTGGGCTCCCCGGACCCAGTCTAGCTGCTCCAGTCATCTGTGCCCTGGCGTCCAGGGTGGGTTCCTATCGGGCTCCCCCTCCCTTCAGCTCATGTGCTGCCTCTACTGCCCCAGTCAGAAACACCAGCTCGTTCAGGCGCCCACACTCCCCGCCTACCTCCAGACCTCTCCGGATCACCTCCTATTGACCACTCGGGCCTCGGAGTAAAGTCACTGCCTCCTGGAGGCCCTCCCTGATTCCCCAGCACTCGGCACAGAAGCAACAACACTGACTCACTATCTGTTGAACAAGTGGCACCTACAAGAGACCCTGAACTGGGAGCCAGAGGAGGCCGGAAGCGGGCCACATGGTGCTACCCGGTCGGGGACCCGGAGGAGAGGGGGGGTGGGGAGAGAGGGCGACATTTCTAACCCCAAACCCACGTCGTACCCAGGGTGGCTGCCTTGCAGGGAGCGTCCCTAGACAATGGCCTCCCCTGGGACCCCCAAGACAATTCCAGGTGTGGGGTGTCATTTACCTTCCGGGTGGGCGAACTCTCGGAAAGTGGGCAGAGAGACGACGGTGTGGGAGATGGTGTGCACCAAGTCCAGCATGCAGGTGATGTCGTTGGGGCGGCAGGACTTGATGCAGCGGACGGTGTCCGTCTTCTCCTGCTGGAGCCTGAGGGAACAGAGCAAAGGGGCAAGTCGGACGCGGCACGCCCGCGGTGCGGGGGCCCGGGAGGAGCGGCAGGTGGCCAGGCAGGAGCAGCTGGCCTGGAGGCGGCTCCGTCGGAGAACCAGTGGCCTCCACCGCCCGGCCGCCCCGTAGGGATGCTTCAGGGCCCTTCCTGCAAACTGGACCAGGGCCCAGAGGCCAGAGACGCGCCCCGGTGTCCGTCTGCCTGGCGTGGGCAGGCGAGGCTTTGCTGTCTGCCACGTGCGTGAACTGTCCAGCCTCTACCACAGCAAACACACGTTCGTGCACTCGCTCAGGGGGTCTGCGGAGTGCTCACGGGGTGCCAGGCTTCGGGGACACCCAGGGAGTCGTGCCTTCTTAGAGCCCTTCGTCAGGTGGCCCGCAGGGGTCGATAATGAGGGCGTATACAACATGCGCAGCCCAGGGCTCAGCACCAAGTCCCGTGAGGACAGGGAGCAAGGTCATTGCACAGCATCGTGTCCCAGGCCTGGTCCTAGGCATACTTTTATTTTCTAAATCCTCACCTGAGGATATATATTTTTTTTCTATTTATCATCAGATAGAGTGGGAGGGAGGCAGAGAGAGAGAAACATCAACATCGACGTCAGAGGGACACATCGACTGGTTGCCTCCCATATGACCCGACCAGGGCCGGGGATGAACCGCAACCAATGTACGTGCCCTCGGCCAGAATCGAACCCACGACTCATTGGTCCGCAGGCCGACGCTCTAACCACTCAGCAAAACTGGCCAAGGCCTAAGCATATTTTTAAAATCTTTTTTTATCGTAAATTAAAACACAAATGCAAATGCTACACAAAACAAAGCTACTGCTTAATGAGCATTATAAGGTAAATGCCCTGATAATCACTCAGGGTGAGAAAGTTCCACCAGCCACGAGGCCTTCCCGTGCCCCCGACCAGGCCCTCCTGCTCCCCCGCAGCAAGCCATGACCCGTCCCCCAGCCTGCGCCTACCTGGGCTTCTTTCTTCTTCTTTTTTAAAATATGTTTTTATTGATTTTTTAATTATTTTTTGTTGTTGTTGTTCAGATAGAGTGGGAGGGAGAGAGAGGAAGAGAGAGAGAGAGAAACATCGATGTGAAGGGACACATCGAGTGGCTGCCACCCGCATGACCAACCAGGGCCGGGGACAAACTGCAACCGAGGTACGTGCCCTTAGCGGGAACCGAACCCGGGTCTCTCTGGACCACAGGCCAACGCTCCAACCGCTGAGCCAAACCAGCCAGAGCTTTATTGATTTTTTTAGAGAGAGAAACATTGATCGGCTGCCTCCTGCATTTCCTCTACTGGGGATCAAGGCCACAACCCGGGCAGGTGCCCTGACCAGGAATCGAACCGGGACCTCTCAGTCCATGGGACGACGCTCAGTCCACTGAGCCACACCAGCCGGGCTCCCTGGATTTCTTCATCATTTCTAACACACAGATGTGCATCTCGAGACACAATCATTTGGACTTGTCTGTTAAAATGTCTCATTATATCTTTTAAGCCCTTTTTCATCTACAGGTTGTCTCTCCATCTTCTTCATTTTCCACGATTTACCTGCCAGGGGCGGAAGTATCCGAGCTGCGTGGAGAGCTTCCTACCTCAGGACTTGTGATGGGTCCTCGAGGTGCCACCCAGCCTGTCCCTCCATCCTCCGAGTTTCCTGCCCATGGCACTGATCCGATCACATGCAGGCCCAGTCCCCTTGGCCAGAGGATAGCGGATGGCATGTCGTCTATCCGGGGGCCCATGGTATCTGGTTGTCTTTCTGTGAGGTCAGCAACTATTTACACTCAGGGCCGAGACCGGCTGATTCATCGGGGTTTGCAAACACACGGACGGGCTGACTCTGTTGTTTCTTCTTCACTTATTGGCTGGAAAACGTCTGTAAGAAGATGCTTCCCCTCGAATGTGATCTGGTTACCAGGGAGTGTATAGTTCACAGAGGAAAAGCACTTCCCTGTTCTCCGCCAGCCTTCAGGGTAATGAACTAGCTCTGTCATCACCCAGAAGGCACAGTGGGTGACGTCAGGACCACTGTGAGCTCAGGGACGCCCACTGCCTGGCGTACTTCAGTCCATTGCCATTGTTACCCTTTGCTGGAACCCCGGTGTTCCCGCCTTCGGCCGGGGGCGACCAGAGTGACCCAGGAGTCTCCGAGACCACTGTTGTCTGCTATGACAGGTGGTTTGCCTCTCTTGTACCTTTATTGCCCCAGCTATTTCTCCAAGAAGTCTTGGGTTTGGTTTTTAAGTTCGTTTTTAGTTTTATTTTTTTTAGTGGCAGTCGTGTTTCAGAGTCACAATCTGGATGCCAGAGATACTTGGTGCCCCGAGCTGGTCGCTATTTCTAGGCTTCTGCAGTGGATTTTTTTTTTTTTTTTATCTTCACTTGAGGACATTTCCCCATTTATCCTCAGAGCGGGAGGGAGAGGAGGAGTAAGAGAGAGAAACATCGCTGTGAGAGCGACACATCAATTGGTGCTTCCCGCACAACCCCGACTGGAGCCGGAGATCAAACGTGCAGCCCAGGGATGTGCCTCTGTCTGGGAATCAAACCCGCGACCCTTCAGCCCTCAGGCCAATACTCTAACTGCCAAGCCAAACCGGGCGGGGCTGCAGTGGACATTTTTAAAGATAAAATATGAGTGCCCTGGCCAGTTTGTTCAGCGGTTAGAGCGTCGGCTCGCGGTCCCGAGAGACCTGGGTTCGGTTCCCGCTGAGGGCACGTACCTTGGTTGCAGTTTGTCCCCGTTCCCGGTTGGGGTTGTGTGGGTGGCAACCAGTCGATATGTCTCTCTCTCTCTTTTTTTTTATCCTCACCCAATAACATTTTTCCATTTTTTTATTCAGATAGAGCAGGAGGGAGAGAGATGAAGAAAGAAACATTGACATGAAAGGGACACATCGAATGGCTGCCACCCGCATGACCCAACCAGGGCCGGGGACAAACTGCAACTGAGATACTTGCCCTTAGTGGGAACCGAACCTGGGCTCTCTGGACCGCAGGCCGACGCTCCAACCGCTGAACCAGACTGGCCAGGGCCGAAGTGTCTCTTTCATGTCGATGTTTCTCTCTCTCTCTTCCTCCCTCTCTCCCTCTCGCTCTAGCTGAAGATAAATGCAAAAAAAAAAAAAAAGTCCCAGGATAAATAATATATAGAGAGATAAATATATATATCATGGGTTTATACTGATATTTCTGATTCAGTACAAGGCCCACACATGTTTTTTGTTTTTTTTCTTCACCTCTTCACTATTACAAAGAAATCTCCTCTCTTCCACATCAGAATCCTGATTCTTAAGAACATAGGAGATGATAGAATGTCCTATAATTAGCTACTTTGTTCCACACAGTAGTCTCAGGATAACAATACCAAAATTACCACCACTCATTACTTAAAGTAATTTTTTTAACATGTTCTCTCCATTGTACCTACAATTTTTTTTTTTTTCATTCTCACCCAAGGATATTTTTCCATTTTTTGTTCAGACAGAGTGGGAGGGAGAAGAGAGAGAGAAACATCGACGTGAAAGGGACACATCAAGTGGATGCCACCCGCACGACCAACAAGGGCCGGGGACAAACTGCAACCAAGGTACATGCCCTTAGCGGGAACCGTACCTGGGTCTCTCTGGACCGCAGACCGACGCTCTAACCACTGAGCCAAACCGGCCAGGGCTGGACCTACAAATTTTAAATAGACGTGCTATATCCACATTGTCTGAGCACAGAGCAAGTCACACGCTACTTTCTTCTTGTAACACCCGTTTAGTTGTAGTTCTGTGAGTAACTGTCGAAGGCTTGCTGACAGTAGTGTGTACTCTTCGTACACAAAAGAGTTTTATTGGGTATAAAGTCCTGGTCTTCCATTTTCTTGAGCGTTCCAATCATTCTCCTCCAGCCAAAGTCTCCCTGTGAAAGTCTGACGATAAGATACTTTTCCCCTTAGAAGTCACTTGCTATTTTTGCCTACATGCCCATAGTTTTTCTCTTTTCTTTAAAGTCCAATAATGTTATTAGACTATGTGTTTGTTTGTTTTTTTCGTGATGGTACTGATTTTATTACTTTCACTAAGCTATTTGATCTCCCCCACACTCAATGCAAAGAAATAAAAAGATGGAAAAAATATGTCCTTGTTATTGCACGAGAAAAAGGAGCGGCTTCGTTCTGCAAGCCTGGCTGCACTGTGCGAGCGCTTCGCGGCTCGAGTGGGTCCGAGCACCACGCAGATGCTGACCCATTGAACAGAAGCTCATGCAGATGGTGCCTGAACTCACTCCGTGGGAGCTGCAATAGACTGAACCATTTCTGTGGTGCCCCCGGATCTCAGTAAATAGGACCTGGACAAGGAAAGATAACAATCAGTCTGTCCGTAAATTGTACCTGCAGATTGTATCTTGTACGCATGTACTCAAGAGCGGGCCTGGTGGAGTACCTGGATACAAGTGTTGCTGAGGCCTAAAGATTGCTACATTGATATCTATCTCTTCATTATGACAGATAGATATCAATGTAGCAATGAAGATAAGGTAGACATCCAAACGGCTGTCAGATTAAGACACTTCTAGAGCTCGTCTCAATTCTTCAAAGAGTGGAGCCAGTTGCTTTTCTGGGCTGACCAGTGGCCCTGTGTGGCTCTCCTGCTGGCTAGGAAGCGGTCCTGTGTCGGCTCTCCTGCTGGCTAGGAAGCGGCCCTGTGTCGGCTCTCCTGCTGGCTAGGAAGCTCGCCACCAAAGGCAGCCGATTCCGCTGAACCCCCGTGGGTGTTTCAGTAACAGATGACACTTCCATTTCTTGAAAGTCCAAGTTTGCTTCTTTGGTCTGTCACGAGGGCAAAACGAGATAAGAAACCAGATAGCAAAGGATGCTCCGGGCCTTCTCATCGGCCACCTTACTAACAGGCACTCTGTCTCTGAGACAGCAGCATGGAGCCCTGGAACTTGGTAACTTTTTTTTTTTAATCCTCACCCG